AAACACACATAAAATGGCATCTTTTATTATTCTTGTAAAATTACATCTTGAAATGTTACTTCGTCGACATCAAATGATGTTTTCACCTAAACTTCAACTTTCATCTTCTTCTCGCAAAATTACGGCCCAAATTGGAAATGTACTGACATATTTTTCATGATTTTGTTATATTATTCCTTGTAAATTTCACTTGAAGTTGCATTTTATTGTCTTTCTTGTTAATTTTGACATTTTCTTTGATTTCTGCGCCTTCCCCGTTTTCTTGCCTTCTACAGGCCGACTCCTCTGAAGCTCTCCGTCGCTACAACCTCTGTCTGCGCCACAGCCACGTCGTCCTGTTGACCCAGACCCGAACGTGCCCCTTGGTGTTACCGTCCCAGCCTCCGCCTGAGCCGCAATGGAAACTGTTCCGCAAGAAAAGCGAGAAGCCTGTGATCAGCGCCGAGCCACAAAGTAAGCGGGAGAGAAAGAGAACCGAGGCGAGAGGGGGCTGATGTGCATACAGAGGCGTATATCAAAACCATTGTGTGAAATTCTGTGATACGGTGTAGGTGAATGTCATAGATAAATAACGAGTAGAGAGCAAAGCAAATTCTAAATCAGGAGGAGATGTGCATGGGAGGTTATACAGCGTTGGAAGATCGCCACAATATTTCAACAGTGAGACTTGTGGCGAGCTTATGTCTGACGTCATTCAGACAAGAAATGAGATCAAGCGAGGTCGTGACGTGCGCTTCCGCTCTCGCAGTCATACCCGTGTCCGAACCTGAGGAGTTCATCGGCATCGCCAGCCCCTTCATCGACCAGCGTGTCAAGAGCCCCCCGAGCCGACCCGCACAGCGGTGGGTGTGCTCTCAAATATTTTGGAAGGATGAATCATATCTGCGATTGTATTCATTTAGCTAGCGTTGCAAGACACATGAGTCGTCTCGAGACAACACAGTCCATAGCCACAAAGGTCTGACCGTATGATGCGCTTGTGTCACGATGCCGCGTGACGTTCACACCCACGCTGTGCATCTTTACGTCAGAATGGACAAGTGGAACGTTCCGAAGAAGCTGTCCTACATGCCCCATCTGGACTCCATCCCTGAGGGAGCGGAGAACGAAGGCCGCGAGCCCATCGACCCCGATGCGGCTGAAAGCGACGTTAACCGGGAGAGTGTCGTCGAGGAAGTCGAGGTACCGCTCATCACTCTCTGCAAGGGCACGCGTGGCATCGTTTATGCCAACAGACGCGCACGTGTTAAGGATGCTCGATACCAAGTACCGAAACCTCTCGAACTTTTGATCTGTAAAATTTTTTTTCACACAAAAATTGTGAGCAGAGCCCTTTCTTTCTGACACAGATGATTTGTTGAGGTGTCAAACCGCCACACTCTTGCGCCACCTACAGCACAGGAGGACTTACTCAATGTCACATTTTGTTTTCCTTCAGTATCAGTGGCTGGTATCGGGAGCCTCTACTGGTACCTTTTAAATAAGACTGGTATCGGCTTGATACCTTTTTATCGGTACTCGCCCATTTCTAATTTTTACACTTGATGGAAACAAATGTTTTAGACAAAACTACGCTAAATATTCTGAAATTACTAACACCTACCCAAAGGCTTTTAAATTTAAGATTGGCAAGACTCTGAGATAAAGTGTCATCGGTTCTCCCCCAGCTTCCTGTGCTGTGGACAACACCACTGCTAGTACATTCGTTTTTCATTCTACCGGTTGCCCTATTTGCGTTTTAAACGATTAATACTTTATATTTTGAGGGGCGGGGGGCATGAATTACTCGATGCCATTCGCGATGATTACTGGAATACAGCATCCACAAAATCAAACTACCCACATGGCTTTAATCCTCGTTTAGATGCTCACAAGTGATGTCATACAGTTTATTTTTCATCTTTAGTTTTGAGGCCTCACAAGTCAATTCTTGCCCTCGCATCCATGCGCAGCCCATCATGTCTGCTTTCTCTGTCAGTGACAGCAAGGCAGCCATCACCCAGTCTCAAAGTCACTTCTGTTGTCCCCCAGCCAGGCCACTAGTGACCAGAGGCACATCTGCGCCAAAGAGTGAGCTAGCAATAGACGGGAGACGAGGGCGGTGGGTCCACAACAACAACAACAGCGGCTGCGGCGGCAGAGCGAAATCGACAAAGATAGGGCAGCATTATGGCTAATGAAAAGGCGAGCCAATGGAAAAGAAAAAATAGGGAGGAAGCAGCCGAGCAAGAAACTGAGATGTGGAAATAGAATCTTTGGCATCAGGCGGTTGCGGCGGGTCGTGCAGATGGAGAGGAAAAAAAGAAAAGCGGTGAAATTAGAGGGTGAGCCATCAGTGTGTATGTCTCCTAGGGGCGGGTGGG